CCACTCAAACAAGTGGCACTCATACAATAGCACGCCGTATGAGCGACGAAAGAGAAATATGATGCAAGAACCCCAAGTCAGTACTTAATTAAGCCACCTAGAGTCCTTAACTGGGCATAAAGGATATGACCACTGGCACACTTTATAGTTTGGAAATCATGTTTTTCAAATGCCTTTTTGTTTTAAATACACTTGTGAACAGTAACACGCTAAACCATGCTCTGATGCCAGCTGTAATAGAACCGACCAATTATACGAAATTAAGTAAGAAAATCATCCGCCAGAGCAGACGATTTAGCAAACTTAAGCCCGTATAACCCGGTAGTCCGTGAAATCACGAAGGATTTCAAACCAATTTCCATTCCAGCCAAGATCGTAATAAGTTTAGCGGTCACCATCACATATTACATAAAAGTTTGCATCTCAGATACATCAGAGTTTAAACATAGTTATTACAAAACAAGTTCGAATAAAAGTAGCGAAAGTCATTTGTTCAAACCACACACACACTCACACGAAGTTTAAATACAGTGCCAGCGAATGATCATCTCCAACAAAAGCATTAGACGAGACGTAAGGAATGACCATGCCCATGGTCCTAAGCATCACCCATCGCAGGATAAAGGCAGTTGATACAGTAGCCGTAATACATCTGCCCATCTGCAACAAGTGGGAATAAAACCCTGAGTACGAGAAGGTACTCAGCTAGACTTACCCGACATAACCGAAAATAAATGACACCAAAGATTATGAAGGCTTTATAGTAGGGTAGCTGACTCATTTGCAAAAGAAGCATTTTTAGCATTTCAAGAACATTTCTAAAAGCATTATTGTCAAGTTAATTATTATTAACCTGTCGACTAGATTTGCACCTAAACTAGAGCAAACATATGATTAAGCAGATAATGATAACCAATGATCATTAAACAACTTCCATACTGTCATATTCACTATAATTGTCCAAGTGTCCCATAAACATTTACTACGATGAAGTAACTCAAGTCAAGTGCTCACTATCCAGGAGCAATGGCGATTCGAATCGATTCCTAACCAGCTGGTGATTTATTCCTTACACAAACCTCACTCACCCGCTAAAGTGAGATATTGATCACCGAGTCAACTTTCCAGGTATCTCGAGTTTGCCAGGAACCACATGTACCCGGGGGCCGACCGACTGCACTTTGGTCTTATCATCTCGCCCCCGTGTCCTACCACACCTGCTCCGGCACAGTGCGCTGCGAGCAATCTACTCGGCCCAAAAAATCTCTCAGCTTCACGGTCGGAAGGTACTTTATCCGGCCAGCTAAATGTAAGGCATGCGTTCAACATGACTCGAGGCCCAACAACGGTCGGTCCTTAATCGACACAGATGGAAACACTACAGTCCAAAACTCTGCAAGTCTTCGTCCGGTCTCAATTTCATTTAACACTTAGTTATACCATGACTTCATAGTCATCCAAGCAGATCCAGGTAACCACCTATAGCTCGCAGGTGGCAGGAAATCACCCGACTTCTATCGGTCTAAGCCAGCTAAGTATTGACTCGACTGCGGATACCAGGGTAACAAGGATATAGTATAACAAAGGTAAACAAGGTATAATGCAGCAACGGTTGCAAACAACTCCTGAACGTAATGCATCAATTAAAGTAAAGCATTTAATTAAATAATTACAAACCGGGAGAAAAATGCTCCGGGGCTTGCCTCTCTCGAAGGAGCTCGGACGGTGATCGGGGCACTCCGGAAGTTCCTCAACGTCCTCCTCGTCGGCTTCTAGCACTTCCTATGGCTGCACCTCGAACTGCTCCTCGGGCTCTTCGGGTATGACGACTGGGTTCTCGGTTTGCGATCCTGTATGATGCAATGTGCGTAAGTGCTTATGCAATCGGTGCATCGGATAAGATGAATACAATGGATATGTTTGAATGCAAGGTAGTCAACATCATCCAAGAAAATATACTACAAGCACATGTCATCTACTGTATTCTCTTCTACTACTAATATGTTAAGTCAACACATCTTATTAAATGCTTCAAAGATACACCAAAGCTAACATTATTAACTAACTTGCATTAAAGAGGATTATTTTATTTCATTTTAAACTAGGGCTACAACAGCAACCTATATTTCTGGTGCTTATAAAAATCTAAGAAAATTACAGTAGTATAGTACTACTCTAAGTAGACTACCATAAAATTTTCATGGCGTTTGGATAAGTAAAATAGTCTACACAAAAATGACAAGGCATAGCAGGATTATGAACATAAAAATACTTTGAACTGTGAAAAGTGTCAAACAACAGAGTTAGTATTTTTCCTAGGAAATACATGACATAAGAAGATTAACAAACTTGGAATCATATTTTTCTGAAGCCTATAGAATTTTCTACATATTTTTCAAGTTATCAGCAATATACATGATTAAATAAAATTCTACATAAAAGTATTTAAAAAATGACATGCAATAATTTTCCCTAGTGGATCTGATGATAAGGAACCTAGACAAATTTATTTCAACAGATTTGGAGCAACTTTGAGTACCCAAACATTTTGCAAACCATTTCTATTTTCAAATCATAAAGAATAAATTGAAAATAATTCCTTCAATCAACTCATCGGGCGGCCCATTGAATCAACTGCCCACGGCCGCTTTTCATTCTGCGACCGAGCGCAAAGGGAGGGAAGACGGCCCGGCGTCGGCCGCCCACTACTCGGCTTTACCGGGCGGGTGGTCGAGGCCATCTTGGCCGCTTACTTGCCATGGCTGTGGCGTGCTGCGCTATGAGGCCGTGCCATCTCCGCCACCTGGCAGGGTGAGCTAGCGCGCGCGCACGCGATCGCGAGAAGATGGCGAATCTTGCGGTAGGGTAGCTAAGCGGGCCGAGAGAAGAGAATGGAGGGGCCTCCATGGCGACCGAAACACGGCGGCGCGCCATGGTCGTGATGGCAAGGCCGAGACGGCTCTACACATGTGTTCGGCAGCGGGCGCAAATCTGAGCACAACTTGAAGGAGGGCGAGGCGGAGCTGCGAGCGCGCGGCTTGCTGGCCGAGGTGGAGGAGCCATGGCGGATTTCGCCAAGCGGTCTGGGCAAGCAAGCGAGGCGCAGCCGCGCGCTTCGGCTCTGGTGGAGAGGAGAGGCAGCGCAGGAATGAGCCAACAAAGCGCCACCGGCTTCGGCAGTGAAGGCGGGCGCTGGTCGAGCCGTGGTTGCCATGCCAATGGCGGCGTCGAGCCGACGCATGGTCGCCACGCCATGAAACAAAGCTCTGCCATGGCTCGGACGCTGTGGCAAGTCGATTAAGGGCGGCGGAGAGGCAGGCAAAAGGGCGCAACACTGGGTTGGGCTGAGCGAGGCGAGGCGCTCGCGGGAGGCTGGCTGGGCCGACTTCGGTCGTGGGCCAGAAGTGAGGCGACGGCCCGCGAAGGAGGAAAAAGCCTTTTTCATTTGTATTTTCAAGGAATTTTTAAATGCCATCTTTCAAATATTATTTTGAGCAAGAAAATGACATCTTTTGAAAATGTACCAAAAATGAAAGTTGATTAGAATTTAATTTTCTACAACTTTGCTTTTATGACCACAGTCAAATTCTTTCTAGATTTTGAATTGTAAGGTCAAAGTCCACGTTTAACTCAAAACCCTATTTTTTGGGAATTCATTTTTGAAGCCAAATTTTGAATTAATTGAATACAAACTTTGCTCCAAAAATTGAACTAAACATTGCTATATGATTTACAATAGTAGCCAAACATGTTTTACTAACCTAGCAAGCAAAATCAGGGCAAAACAAGTCTAACAAAAGTATGCACATTCAGGTTTCACAACATGTTTCAAATGTTTCGAAGCAGTGTTTCAATTGTTATTTACATGATTAGGCATGTGTGATTAGAATGCTTGATGATGCATGATATGTATGATTTGCAGTGACTAAATGCAGGCATAACACCGGGTGTTACAGCCACGCCGTTTCGCTGCGGCGCGCGCTGCGTGCGCTGTGCGCGTCATGGCGCGGACTGACCAAACTGAACCGGGCCAAGTCGTGATCAAGCACGCCATTGATCACGCTCTGCCCCTATGCTAGCTGATGCATGACTTAGAACGAAAAAATTACAAACTATTGTGCAACAATTTGGCTAACATGGCGGGGGATGCAGCGTCCCGGATATCCATCTGAAGGCCGATGGCGGCAGCGCGACGCGGTGTGGTGCTGCCGAGCGGATGTGGAACCGAGTTTTTTAAACTTGATTGCCGAACTGAAAATTGAACACTACAGTATTTGAGACATTTGGGAGCATGACATATATCTTGCGTATTCATGCATACGTAGAAATTGCTGTGCTGTAGGCTACGTATGTACGTAGCTGTTTCTTCCAGAACGAGTCGACGTGCTCAAAGTTCCTTGTTGGTTTCTCAAATAAAACTCCTCGTTTGCAAAAACGTGTACCAGATCTGTGACGAAACTAGTCCAGTCGGCATCCCAATCCTGAAACCGTGAGCAGAGAACATCAAAATGTAATCGAACAGGTTGCCATTAATTTCTAGAGGCTATTGTGGTAGGAGTACTACGTAGCAGTGTCTCCTTCTGATAAAAACAGATATTGCTTCCCAGCAAACAAGAGCTGTCGTGGAAGCAGCAAGGCATTGACAAATTCAGATCGATTTGTGGATCACGGATCAGGCAAACGAATGACGAAGCGATAAGCCAGCAATTTAGTCATTAAAAAAAGTCAGCAATATGCACGTCGGTGAACGAGTAAGGGGATTGGTATGAATCCTACGTCTACGTGGACGTCAAAGTCATCCCTGAATCTACTCATCCATTGGATTGGATGGTTTATTTCGCATCATATATATACGGGACCCTATATATATACAAGAGCTTTCTGTCTCTTGGCCAGAAGCCTAGAACGAGAAGTGTCGTTGATTCACCGATCAAGCCTCTGTTTCCCGTCCAAACATCAGCGTTACGTACCTGCGTAGGTGGGACTCCTGTGAAACCTCTATGGATTTCCATGAAAAGGATGCGCACAGGCACAGCTCTGATGAGCATGACCCTGCTCCGCTCCCTCTCGTCCGCCTGAACCACGTCTCGTTCCAGTGCGAGTCCGTGGAAGCATCGGTCGGCTTCTACCAGCGTGTGCTTGGCTTCGAGCTCGTCAAACGCCCGGCGTCCCTCGACTTCAGAGGAGCATGGTGAGCAGCCATTTCGCGCAGCATACCACTGCCCGTTACGTACTTGTCCTTCGAAATTTTTGTTGTTTATTTTCGCAAGGTGAGGCTAACTCGTTGCGTGCTTTTCAGGCTGCACAAGTACGGCATGGGGATACATCTACTGCAGCGCGGCTCGGATTCCAGCGCTCCGGCTGCGGCTGCTGCAAGACCGCCGGCGATCAACCCCAAGGGCAACCACATTTCCTTTCAGGTGACCGCCAGAGCTCTCGCGCAGAACTGACGTGCTTAATCAGTATACTCAGTAGTAGTAAGTCCCCGCTGATCGGCTGTCATCGTTTGCGAATGGCATGCAGTGCACGGACATGGCGCTCATGAAGGCGAGGCTGGGCGACATGGGGCTGGAGTTCGTCGCGGCGCGGGTGCGGGACGGCGAGACGGTGGTGGAGCAGCTCTTCTTCCACGACCCGGACGGCAATGTGATCGAGGTCTGCGACTGCGAGAAGCTCCCCGTGATACCCCTCGCCGATGCAGGCGCCGCCGGCCTTCCCAATCTGCTGCTGCCGGTGGAAACGAACGTGCATGGTTAGTTCGTGGTGGTTGCTTAGCACGATTATTTGATTCGTTTGATTAGCTATGTGAGTTGTAATAATATATACGATAATAACAGGCAGTTCTGCACGCTAATAGTTTGGCTTGCACTGTACTAGTACGTCTGTTGTGTTGTCAAATGCCAAGTGTCCGTAGTGTATATACACAAGTTGGGGAGATTTCGGGTTTACGCGTCTTCCAAGCTGAATCTACGGCCGACCTTTTGAACAGTCGGTTCCCTACCGGGAAAGCTAAAGCCCGTGTAGCAAGCGCAAGCACCTTTCCCTTTGCCTTCCATGTGACGCGATCGTCAGAGCCGGTAGAGAGAGTTAAATACATTTCCAGCTGCTGCGTATGTACCGCTTCTGCAGTGACGATGAAAGTGGCTTACTACTCTAAGTATGCGCCACATGCAAAGCTACAGCTAGCATCATCAATAAAAATGTCACGCAATGCATTTTTTTCACCTTTGAATCAAAGGATTAAAGGGATGTCATCTGTTGTGTGAGTGAGTGGCGACAAACCACCGCGTACCCGAAATCACAAAGCAACCGCACCAGCGTTCACAGCCCAATGAGAAGCCTGCCTGGCCCAATCGTGCGCTGTGCAAAGTGCAAGCCGAAACCGAAGTCAGTGGCAGAAACAGCCCTTATCCAAAAAAAAAAGTAGGCGGCACAAGCCACGCTCTCCGCGGTAAGACGCTTGTGGCTGCAATGCACGGCAGCAGCTGCAGGCGCGGACCGAGCAAAAACCAGCACCAGCCAAAGCAGAGTAGTAGCAGACGCGAAGAAGCAGAGGGAGGCCGGCCACCACAGCATGGCGACCACGGCGTTTCTATCCCCGGCCAAGCTGGCGCTGCAAGGGCGCCGGTTCGCGAGCGCCAAAACGGCGGGAGCGGGACGCGTCAGCGTCAGGGTCAGGGTCCCTCCGGCGCGAGCCCAGCAAGAGCAGCAGGTGAAGGAGGAGGAGGCCGAGGTGGCGACCTTGCCGCCGACGCAGGGCGCCGAGGAGCAGGCGAAGGCGAGGAAGGGGGACGCGCAGTCGCTGCCGCGGCAGCCGCTGGCGGAGAGCAAGAACATGAGCCGTGAGTACGGCGGGCAGTGGCTGAGCTGCACCACGCGGCACATCCGCATCTACGCGGCGTACATCGACCCGGAGACCAACGCGTTCGACCAGACGCAGATGGACAAGCTGACGCTCATGCTCGACCCGCAGGACGAGTTCGCCTGGACCGACGAGGCCTGCCAGATGGTCTTCAACGAGTTCCAGGACCTCGTCGATCACTACGAGGTAACCTCTGTAGTTACTCCCACTCCAATACTAGCTCCGATAGATAAAAGTTGATTCTCTTAATGTCTGAAATTCATTAAAAAAAATCATACGGTCATGGCAAAAGAAGTGCTCAGTATGAGGATAGCTGTACGCTACTGGATGCCTCATAAGTAGCTCATTGCTGGACTTGTTTCTGCTTTGAAACAGGGGGCTGAGCTGTCGGAGTACACACTTCGGTTGATCGGGTCAGACCTTGAGCACTACATCCGCAAAATGCTGTATGACGGGGTGCTCAAGTACAACATGAGGTCCAGAGTCCTCAATTTCAGCATGGGCAAGCCTCGGATGAAGTTCAACAGCAGCCAGATCCCAGAAGCAAAATAGAATGTACTTATCCAACACCCTTAAGAGAATGGTTTCTCCATTCTATTGCTGAATAAGATGTATACTTTGCAGTTCCAGATACGAACCAGAGCATTCCAGAATTCAGATTATACAGATGCAAAGTCATACCGATTCTGTTGGCAGCATTTTGTCACCCCTGCACAGTAATACCCACATAACGAGAGTCTGGGCAAAATAAGGGTTTGCTCCAGTTTAGACACCCCTTCTGTTTCTAGGGCACTCAAATTGGGTTACACAATACCATAGTTTCCATAGTTTCTGCTAATAGATATCACCGAAGACCCCATGAGTATCACTGGTCAAAGTTGTGACCACGCTAACTTACCACTTTACCAGTAATACCCACATAACGAGAGTCTGGGCAAAATAAGGGTTTGCTCCAGTTTAGACACCCCTTCTGTTTCTAGGGCACTCAAATTGGGTTACACAATACCATAGTTTCCATAGTTTCTGCTAATAGATATCACCGAAGACCCCATGAGTATCACTGGTCAAAGTTGTGACCACGCTAACTTACCAAACGACTTTCTGAACTGGATGGAGTAATGGCTAGTATGGGTAACCCTCTCCCATCATTCCACGACAACTCGGTACTTTTTAAATTCATCGCTCCATGGCCTGAATTGCTCTTCTTGCCCAACGTTCTATAAAAGCATACAGATAGAGAGTAAATAATAAAAATTAGGGAACACCGCACCATGCTATGCTGTTGCTGAGTAGCATGTACTGGTTCAAATAAGAGAGTACACATTAATGTTGCAAATAAACTGATTAATCATGAATTCATGGTAGATATATGTCTCAGCCCGATCTGTAACTATGCTGAGCTACATAGGCAAACTGACTGTCTCCACTGAAAAATAAAGCTTTTGTTTTAATTCTACCAAGAATACGCTTCTGCTACAGTCGTTACTTGTTTTAACAAGAGATGGAGCTATGAGTTTCAGATGTGTGCTAACAGACACTTAGTTTGCCCACATTATTAACAACAAAGAAATGGTATTGCGGTTACCTGCAACTAGAAGAAAAGCCCACGCAAAAGAGCGAAGCGATTTGGATAGTTATTGCATTGGAGACTGAATTGCTCAGCAAGATCTGAAATTCAACGAACAAAGAGGTGTCAGTTAGTACTATAATCACATGCGTGCGTCTCAGGCCACTTGGAGACAACATAGCATATCAGGTAAGTTACTACAAACCGACTGAGAAGCCAACACAACTCATCATCGATATAATTGGTACTGCACGAGAAACCATTTCAAACGTCATACATTAAAAAAAATTAAGAGCTCCATGAAAAGAGATTGACAGGATCCGCAAGTCCTTCATTTGGAAGGGGACAGATAAGTCTAATGATCCCCCACTGCCTCGTCAACTTGGGAAGAGTGAAACATCCAAAAAGCTTGGGGGGCTAGGCATCTCGGACTTATAGATGGAAGAGCGCTAAGGCTGCTAGCTTTGGCCTGAGTGGGTTAATGATTCGAAGCCATGGGTGGGCATGGACACCCCTTGTGATGCCACTGACCGTCTGCTGTCCAGTACGTGCACCACTGTGACAATGGGTAATGGCCACAAGGCCAAATTTTGGCACAGTAGCTGGTTGCAAGGAGACGCCCCAAGAATGTTGGCACCTAACTTCTACAGTTTAGTTAAGTGCAAGAACAAATCAGTTAGCCAGGAGCTGAGGAATAATGCGTCGATTAGAAGCCAACAGGAAAGAATCACGGATGCCACTCGAGGAAATTATTTCCCCCTGGCTATGACTCAGGACGTTCATCTGCAACCGTCACTTGGAGATGGATGGCAAACAGGGAATACACACCGCTAAGTCGGCATATCAAATCTAATTCGCCGCTTCTTTTGAGCTAACACAACCTACTTTGCCTTTCAAAAAAAAAACACGGCCTATTTTGGAAAGCAAAAGTGGAAATACATGGCGATTGTTTCAGTCTATCTAAGTAAGCTGTGACGTTGCTGTTAGATTGATCTCCTAACCAATAAGCCCAACGGTCTATTGGGCCTTGGTCACGCGCCCTGATCGGGGGCGCCCAACCCTACATGGTTGGTGGGCCCCCGTCGCACTGCGCTATATAAAGAGGGCCGGCGGCTCAAAGCACGAGGTTCGCCGTGAGCCGCAAACCCACCGACAAACCTTAGACCGATCTAAGAGGGCGCGCAGCCAGCGACGGGAAGCTCCGCTGATCCTCGCCGTCGTCACTGCTACGCCCCGACCGCACTGCATCGACGTCCGCGCAACCTCTACTCCACCTGTCACGCCTGTGTGCCGCCTACATCACCGAACCAACGATGGCCAAAGATAATCTGCGACTTCATCTGAAGGCTCAGGTTCATCACCAGCCCCTCTCTACCCTATCTCCCTCTCGGTGTAGTATTCTAGGTCTAAATGTGCATGTGCTTCACTAGTCTAAGTATTCATCCGTCTAGATCTACCCTAGTCGATCCACAGTTTATAACAATGGTATCAGAGCCTTTTTCTAGCGGTAGATCGGGTACGGGAAAAGTGAGAACTGTTTGAGACATGGTCTCGACATCCTAACCCGCTCGGTGATTGACTGAGAAGGGAAAAGAACCGATTTCAAATCGGGGGGAAGAAGAAAACAGTTTCATCCCCAAACCTAACCCTAACCCTAATCGGGAAATCGTGCAAAATCCGAATCAAAGAAACCGGAAAGGATCCCGATCTCGGATCGGATCAGAAAGAACCCTAACCCTAGAAATGAAACCCTAACCCTAGATTGGGTTTTGGGAAGGAAAAAAGATGAAGAGGGAACCTACCCGGTCCTCCCGACACCGCCGTCACATGAAAGCCACCACCGTCTTGGGCGGTGATCACCGCCGCCATGGTTGGCGAGCGGACAGAGGCCCGGCTTCGGCCAGTGGCTCAGATACGGTCCAAAGCCGCTCGACGGCGGCGCGCTCTGCCATGGGCGAGCGCGCGCACCGGCGAGGGGCTTGGCACCGGTGTCGTCCTCACTTCTTCTCCGGTGACGAGGTGGCGCGCGCTCCCTTCGTCTTCGCTACCGTCGCCGTGGGAGAGGAGAGGAGAAAGAGAAATGGTCTAGGGTTTTTGGGGAGGCGCGCGGCCGGCGGGTTTTTGATGCCCCGAATGTCGCTCCACCGCTCGATCGAGAGACGAACGCTCACGAGCGATCGGGGCAGCCCATGCACCAAAGAGGAAAGGGCGCGAGGCTGAATTCCCGGCCCAGGCCCAGGTTGCGGCTTTGGCGCGAGAATCTTATTGGCCTTGTGCATGCAATGTGAGCATGCTGTGGGCAGCGATGTCTTTGGCTGGGCGAAATGGCCTAATGAATAGAAATAGCTCAAAGTTTTTCTTTTATTTTCCGAAAATATATATTTTGATGAATTTCAATTGGAAGTTGATGCAAATCTTTGTGCAATTTTTGTCCAACGACAATTTTGTTCAGAGAACAGTGCAATATTTAAGAGTTTCTGGAAAAATAATTATGGGCATATTTAAATTTTCCGCTGCGTATTTAAAGTAATTATGGACTTTTAATTAAATTCGAACCAACGGAAAAATTTGATTTTAAGAGCCAAGAGATAAATATGAGATGATTATGATATTGTTATTTTCTGACCAACGTTGTTAATAGCAATATTATAATTTTAATGATTATACATTATTTCTATTTCTGCCCAACGGTGATGTAGATTTAATGTATAAAACAATTGTATGTTTTAATTTTGACCAACGTTAAACTAAGGCATGCAATTATTGTTGTTATTTCTGTTCTCACACTATTTGAATTATGTTTTTAGGAGGATACAACTTAATGAGTTGTATCAAAGAGATCCCCACTCTAAAAGGTGATAACTATAATGAGTGGAAGAAAAAGATAGACCTGGCCTTCATCCTCATTTGAGGTGGATCTGGTTGTCACACCACACCGTGCCCAGAGCGGTGAGGGATTTTGAGACTCCTAGAGAGCGGATGCTCCAGAAGATGTCCTATGACCTTGAGCATAGGAAATGGGTCACTTGCCAACAAGAAGTGTTTGGCGTTGATAAAGAACTACGATTGAGCTCTGCTATTGTGGGCTCAATTCCAGCATCATGACACGGTCACAGAGTACCTAGATAGAATAAAGAGTCAGTTCACTTTGGCTCTTCAAAGACATGCAACCCAGCTGATCAAGCAGCTGGTTACAGAAAGGTACTCTGGTGGCGGCAGTGGCATTAGAGAGCACATACTGAGAATGAGCAATCTGGCATCTAAGCTCAAACCAATGGATTTGGCACTCAAGTATGAGTTTCTTATTCATTTGATTTTTGCTTCTTTGCCCAAAGAATTTGACACCTTTGTTGTTAATTACAACATACAGCCTGAAAAATGGGATTTAGAAAAGCTCATAGCCATGTGTGTGTAGGAGGAGGAAAGAATAAAAGTTTGACAAGGTGGTTCTGTCAACTACCTAAAAGATAAGAAAAAGAACTATTATAACAGCTCTTCCTCCAAGTCATCTAGAAAAGGTCCTATGCAACAGTCTCTCGAACCAAAGAATTCCCGGTGGCTAAAATCGATCGTGTCTCCATCAGCAAGAAGAAGACGGGACATTATAAAAAGAACTGTCCCGATTTCCTAAAGATGATAATGAAGAATAAAGGTGAGAACATTATTACGTTTGTAAATGAATCCTTGTATGTAAAGTTTTCAAAATCTACTTGGTGGATTGATTTAGGTGCAACTATTCATGTTGCTAATTTATTACAGGGATTCCGTTCGATGAGAACTTTGCAAAGAAGCGAAAGTTTCATTAAAGTCGCAAATGGAGTACAAGCAGAGGTTGAGGCCGTTGAAGATCTTCCTCTAGAGCTTCCAGATGGCTTTATACTTTTTCTTAGAGATGTTCTTTATGTACCTTCTTTGCAAAGAAACCTGATTAGTGTATCAAAGTTGGACCATGATGGTTATGATTGCCATTTTGGAAATGGCAAAT